AGATTTCAGCTAGCGCATTCGACTATGCAAAACATGGGGGTGAAAACCCACGATCCATGGTCTTGGAGCGTTGTCGCTTCACAAGATTGCACTTAGCAAGTTGAGCTCTTAGGATGCCATGCTAAGTAGGTTTAGTGCACGGTCCCACTTGCACACCGTCTGCGCGCTGCTTGTCAGTTGCAATACACAGGAGCTTACAACTTGGATCTTCGGACACCTCAAAAGCTGACCCTCTCAGTGTTGTGAGCTTCAATTTTGGGCTGTAACTTGATGCCACGATTTGAATCACAGCTGAGTTATCCTGGAAGCACTCAGGCATAACCTGACAGTTCAAGATCAACTCAAAGAAGTATTGTGCTCGCATTGCTTCGCCAAACAGGCCTGATCCTAGCGAGATCATTTCAGCTGCGCGCAGTGCTCTTGGCAGTCGCGGCTTGGCGTTTGCTACCCCACAGAAACATGCCACTTGTGCCCTCAGTCTGCTCAGTGCCGCTACAGTGGTCAGCGCCAATGTGCAAGCACAATTTCAACAGTTCCGGCGGGTCACCAATATGCCCTTGCAACGAGTGCATTTTTAAACTATATAACACATTAACCTATGGAGTCGTTTGTCATGAGGTCTACTCCAAGTTGTGATTCTACCCGTCAAGTCACCATGTCCTTAGCATTGGATGCCAAGATCCCTTTCTGCTCAAAATCGGAGATAATGAGACTGGCAGCCATTGAAGGCTTGCACTGGGCAAGTTCCTCATGTGCTGTGCATGCATTCCCGACGATATCAAACACACGATCGAATGTTGTGTCTGCCCAGCTCACGGCCAAGTTTTGTTGAAGGCTTACCAACTTTACACACGGCTGTTTCATGTGCCGTTTTTTTGCTGGGGTCAACTCCAACAGCAAGATTACCCATGTAGGTGCCTTGCTCCCAACGTAGTTTGCGTAACTGTGGAGTCTCCCAACGTTTCATTCACAAGATTGTCATAAGAGAGGCAATGTTGATATGCTCTTTATCCAGGACTACCAAACAAGAGCTTTCTCCATCTGCTCTTTTTCTGCTCCCTTAGGCAAGCCTGTGATCATGTGATCCGTTCTGAGTTTGTGGCCGAAATGCAGAGGAGGAGGCTCTATTCCAAGACCCCTTCTTCACCGCACTTTTGCTGTCATTCTAGCCCTGCAAATCTCACAATACCTGCTCTTAAAGAAATGCGCCAACTGGCGCTTTGCAGTTTTAGCTTCTTCTTGAAGCCTTGCCCGCGACAAGGGGGGTCCACTTCTCATCTTGGTTAGCGGCTCGCCTTCAAGTTCTCTGACGGGCTGCTTGTACCAATCGAATTCTGCATCGGTGGTGGTGGCATCAGGCCCAGTGCAAAAGCGGTAGATCTCTCACGGGGGATTGCCCTCATGCCTTGTCGGCAGGCCTTCAAGTAAAGCAGCATGGCAGACCATTCGCATTCGTTTGGTTTCCAGGCCAAATCCCTTCTCGGGTGAGTGGCATTGTGCATCATGTGCCAGAATCAGCAAGAACCTGCCGACTGTGTGGAGCAAAATGTTCCGATCCTACCAGAAAGCACGGTTGTTGCAGCACACCATGCAGTTTCAGGAATGCCAGCAACAGGAGGTGAGCCTCCGTCCTATCAAAAGGGAGGTCGTTCCAGTCCTTCTCCCCTGTACGCCGTGGCGACGGACGTGAGCCTACGGCTGATAACCAGACAACGTGAGATTCAAAACAAACCAAGTAAAGCTGCAAATGGCGGACCCAAAAGCTGCACTCACCTTTTGCCTTGAGCCAAATGGTATTTGGAAAAAATCGGTGAACTGGCTGTTTGTTGCCAGCATCAACCTTGGTAACCCGATTGGAAAACAGTACAAGCTATCTCGGATTCGGTGGCAAGTTTTTTCTTGGCATGCATGCACCACCTACCATCAGGAAATGTGGATTCCACATGAGGGCATTCGTCCTGCACTGTGACATTCTTGATGAAGCCTGTCGCCAATAATTAAAGACTGCAAAGCTCCAGCGGCCTTTTGGCTACTCGAGCGCATTCAAGTCGACAGGCCTCAGAAATACACAGAGCACAGCGGCGAGGCAAAACACAGTGCAACATCACGCGCAATAGTCCAGCAAGCACTGGATGGCAGGGAAACCAACCCAAATCTAAGACACCCAAGTAAGATAAGAAACACAACTGCACATCACGTTGTAGATGAGATTGGGCGGGGTGGGATGTTCTTACCTCGAGCATGCCAGGATGGCCGCAAGCCCTGCCAGCGAAGCAAAAGAAATATGGAAGAGGCCATGACACTGTTGACACTGTCATCCTGGCGCTTCTGCCATCCTGGTTTATACCCTTCAAATATCAGTAGGTTGAATGGATGTTCCACCTAGGTCATAACCGTAGCTGAGGTTTCAACTAGGGGATCTGCGAGATCAGATTAAATGACGAACAGGTACTCCGGTGGATGAACATGGAACCCACATCACGATCGTTTTAGATCAATCTCCTTTGGGGGACGAAACTTTATGGCTGCCGTGTACATCACATTCAGTAGTCCAACCTGATGGGTCCAAAGCAACAGAAACCCAGTCAGGATGAAATGGGCATTTGGTGAGCAACCTCCAGTTCATGGCATTTTGGTGAGTACATGCGCCCCATGTCATCCCCTCCCAGACCTCCGGTTGCCATGAGAAAAGACGCGGCACTCATTTTCGCCACTTTAGGTCACCACTTTAGGTCCTCCAGTTGCTTTTCGCCTGGAAAAACTCAGAAGATGTGTCCAGTGAAAGCTTCCCTTCAAAACCAACAGGGGAACACAGTGAAAAACAAAAAATCAGGTCAACACCCTTCCAAATGCAGATCCAGTAACCCACCCAAATAGTGCTGAAGCCAATGCCTGGCGCTTCTACCATCCTGGAAAATCTCCCCCATCGAAAATGCAGCTTGCCCATGAAAAAAGCGGCGAGGCCGTCAAATTTGCCCAGATCTGTGCAAATCAGCCTAAAGACCTCCTTGCTGTGCTAAGCTACAAAACAGAATTGATGCTCCAAGACAGGACAAATCGCAAAACTCCCAACCCCTTTTTCACAAAGGTGGGCATGTCTCAAAACAGCGAACACCCCCAAAATACTCTCTCTCTTTGGCAGGGCCCTTTCAAAAGAAGGATCATTCAAAAGAAGTACGTAATATCACCAAAAGGGGAAGGGGAAAGTGGCCCCTCCCGCCACCCACTCACCCACCCTCCTACCCACCATACTCGGCGATCCCTCAAAAGAAACATCCAACTGGCACTTCTCAGCTAGGACGCGGGGGGAGCTGCGCTGGCTTGGGCGCCTGCGCAGAGAGGTCAATATGTCCAACGGCGGCTGCTCTTCAAATTGAGATGCAACCCACAAAGGGGGGCGGGGGGCAAAAGGAGTCCTTTAAAGCTTTTTGCCCTTCCATGTCAATTTGTGGGGCGGGGGGTGATGTTTTTGGAACCAGGCTGCTTGCATAGGCCCTTCCTGGCCCTTCTTGGGAGGAACCGCCCGCCTTCCCGACAGGTCGGCACATGCAAAGCGATATGACACGAGATTCATTCCACTTCAACGACCGCCACTACACTTTATACCGGGACCATTGCGTTTTTTAGAAGCAGGCCTATGCAAACACGAACCGATGCTACTTGACTTTTGGACGGAGGCTCCTACCCCCACTGATTTCAGTGACCCAAGCTTGTCCGCTTATGTTTTGCAAACTTGGCCACTTGTTGACTAAGAGTTAGACACGTGCCTATTTTGCTTTGTATCAGTAAGATATTGGTTGATCTTCTTTCAGTTTCCCTTGAGCACCAACCAATCCCCAACGAAAGTCGGCCCCGGCATTAGATTTTTACTCAGGAGTGGTTTCCCCAAAAAATAACCTGGATCCCCTCTCGAAACGGGACCTTAGACACCACCAGCCTTGAAAACCGCTGGAAAACGGAGTGGAGTTTCACTGAACGCAAATATAGCAGGATGGGATGGTAAATCAACTGGATTCCGGTTCGCTGATTCCCCATCAACCGTCGCCTCGGCCGCTCGGGCAGCGATGATCCTGGGCCATGTCCTCACGAATGATCGCAGGCTCCAAGTTGCGAGACTCGGAAAACCCAACGGCAAAAAAACGGTGCAGTTGGCCACGTGTCAAAGACTCCCAACCTGGGAATGAGAATTATCCTCGCAAACAACTTGAGAGCTTGATTCCACCCTGGGACCAGCGAAGTTGACCCGACATCCTACATCAACGTGTCCAAGCGCTCCACACACAAAAAGCAGACATCAAGCGAACAAAACATCCATCCATTTCAGGCCGCCTCAGCCAATGCATAGTGCCTGAAAACAAGTGAAATCCACCACAGACTAATGTGTCCCCTGTGATTTATATCAATCACATGCCCAGAACATTTCAACTTGTAGTGGAGGATTGGTCCATTTAAGAAAGGGGCCACTTCCAATTCGCGCCGTCATCCGCATTAGTCAAGTCAACATTCGTGCAAAGCCATTGCCAGTGCGGCGTCGGATGCCGATGGCCTGGCGTCGCTGGCCAGCTGTGATCCCATCGCCTGGCGACAGGTGCAACCCTTTTGAGCAGTGAGGTCTTTGTCAAATGGGGAACAAGCTCTCGCACAGAGATCTTCCCCCTCTACCCCCTCTTGCGTTTTTTCAGGCTTGAGCTGTGTGCAGCAAACTGCACCTCAAGCTTGCTCAAGTTTTCGCATGGAAAGTGCATGCTCCCAGAAGTGTGTTCCTTCCAAGCGTGTAAAGTGAAAGCGGCTCCGCGTTTTGCGCTTCGGCCAACTGCTGACAACACAGGGCTCTGACAGGCAAGCCGGGATGAGACATATCTCACACGCTTTCGGTGATGAAAACTGCCTGCGAGGATGATGCGTTTGATTAGCCGAATCCTTGCAGCATTTGAGAGCTCCCAACTTTGTTTGCACGGGTGGAACGTACTCCCAGCCCATGACTAGCATGTTCTTTTACGTCAGGGCTCCTTCCAATCAGGATCTCCGATGCCAGGTGGAAAAGCCTTGCAAAAAAGGGGGTCACCGCATTAAGGACAGCAAGGCATTCAGTGGACGTATCAACACGACAAGCCTTGGCCTACACAGCCGCCTGCCCTACAAACCTGTCAGGCAACCTTGAACTGATTCTCAGAACTGTTGGCATTCTGCAATGCCCATCAAATGGTGATCATTGTTTTGATAGCCCGAAACCCACAGCCACATGATACATGCTGCAACACACCCACACACACACACAAACACACATGCTAACATTATGTAACGTGACAAACCGAGCCAACATGCCAAACACAACATCCTCGCCATGCCGCAAATGACCCCACCCAACTCTGCCGACTCTGCCAGCACCAAGGGGTCCTGTAACTCACAGCTGCCCCGAAAACGGCGCCCAGGGGCCCTATCGCGCTCGCCCCTGGCCCTGGCGCCGCTCGCCTCCGGCGCTGCGTAGTCCTCCAGGCGCCAGAAGAGCGGCTGGGAGCTGGGCAGCGCACGGTCCAAGAGCCGCAGCAGAGCGGGGTCCTCAGCGCCCCATACCACCTGGCGAGGCGGAGGCATTGCGAAAACGGCCTTTGGTCACGCCGAAACAGCGGGAGTGATCAAAAAGCATGTAGCTCGAGGTGGGCTGATGTTTGAGCCTCACTGGGTACCCATGAGTCTGGTGGTTATGCACATCCTTTAGATGTAGATGACTCTTTGCCCCTTGCTACGCCCAGAAGACCGACACCGGAAACAACATGAATCACCATGTTTTTGTCCGGTACGCAATCCCCCCACCAATCTTAACGTCTCAGCCTTAACTACGAAGAATGCATCGTACAGTTGAAAAAGCACCCGCACACTGCATGCGAGGAGGTTATAAGAAGCAGCAAAGCTCTGGAAGGCTCACAGCAGACCCCTAGGCCTGTTGTTTCAGAGGATTTGAATGAAGGCAGGCAAGCATTGGCTGCTTAGGACGAAACTACGTTGGCATAAAATCCGCATGAACAAGTGATGGACAGAAGGCACGCGTACTTTAAGACATCCTCAGATTGCCCTCGATTCGTTGTGGGTTTGGAAACCAGCAGCTCCCAAAAGTACTCAAATGAGGTCCCCCAAATACACCTGCTTTGAGGGATCCAGAAAAAGCAAATGGGTATATGGGTATGTTACGTTGGATATGTGTCATTTCGGTCCCCCCCTAAAACACGACCCAACAAGTTTGGCCACCACCTTCAAAGCGGTCCAGCCCTTGCTTGAAAAGTCCCCGGCTTTTTTGCATTGGGGGGGAGGCTGTTTCGGCCAGGCGAGCCTTCTGGCACTCCTGGGGCATGGCTTTGGCCGAGAAGGCCCACAGCAAGCTGGCGAGGAGGCCGTCCATGAAGGACTCCTGGCGTCTTGAAGTGCTTGACAGGGAATGAGAATTGGAATGACCCCCTACCATCCACTTTGATTTGCTCGATTTGCTGGTTTTGCAAACCGAGCCTGAACAAAAATGCTGGTATGGTCAGGCTTTTGGTTTCATCCGTAGCTTTGTGGTTTCCTCAACTGGAATCCCCCCTCCCGGTTCATTCGAACACCTGGAAGGGTCATTCCCTCTGAGCACCAGCAAGGGGCCACACCGATTTGTCAACTCACTTGGGTGGGTTGGACACAAACGATGTGCCCCAAAATGGTCGCCCAAGCAGATCCAATTTGGTCCTTCAAAGAAAGCGAAACCAAATGGAGGTTGGTTAAAAGCTAAAAGTAAGTATTTCAACATGTCTCAATAGGGCGTTGGCCGGACCCCGTCCCAGCCATATTTGGCCATACTTGTTGCAAGTAGCAAAACATCTCTGGGTTGATCGTTCACCCGATCAACCCAATAGGTCAACTTGTTGCTATTTTCTCAGATACTTGGGACAACCTGCTTTGAAACACCCTGCTTTCGCACAAAACCAAACGTCAGGGGAGCTGAAAAAGGCTAACTTTTGTCCATTCCGTGTTTCGCTTGCGTTGGCGCCTTTTCCATGACGGTTCGCGTAGTCGATGTGTTGCTGGAACGCTCTATGGCGTCTGCGCCCTGGCTGCTGGAACTGTTTGTATTATTCACCTTGGTTGATGTGTGACACCAAATGCTGGTATACGCCTTGCAGTCGCCATAATCTGCGCAAGCAGCGGCGTGTGAGCAACAACATGACGGGCGTTAGCCACCAGATCCTATTTGAGGTTAGCGCGATATAGGAAGTGCTCGAATGTGCCCGCGCAAGCGACCCACATGTGGAGCGGGGAACGGGGGTGCCATTTTCAAGGTGGAAGTATTGGGGTCAGAATCGGGAGTTTTCTTGGAATTTGTTAGCATTTGTTTAGCGTTTGTTAGCTTTTGTTAGCTTTTGCTAGGTTTGTTAGCTTTTCGTAGCTTTTGGCACCATGTGTTGGCTTTTTGTAAATTTTAGCAGGTTGTGGGGGGGCTGCAAACACTTTTGTCACGCTGGGCTGCCTTAATGCGTGAAATGTGACACGAAGGCCATCGCGCGCCATGAACGTTTTAGCTGAGAGGCAGTAACATGTTTGCAGAAATGGCCAAGCGAGCAGTGAAGGGGCCAGCGAAGACTATGGGATTGTTCTGCGGTGTCCCCTTAGGTGCTTTGTAAGAGGCCCGGCTCCGTCGTGATCTTGCCGTTCGTGCGTTCAACGCGCACGCAACTGAACGTACCTCGTGGACGAAGGCAAGCGACCCAGCCGCCCAAGTGAACGTTCTAAGGGTGGACTGCCTCATAATGAGGAATTTATTTTTGATTGCAGTTCATGCTCTTGAAAGCCTTGTTGGACTGTTTTGTCACGTTAACCCTTTTTAGCTTTTGTTAGTTTTTGTTAGCTTTCTTTAGCTTTCTGTAGATGTTTGTAGCTCCCAGCAGGTTTCTTATTGGAATTTGTTAGCTCCAGCATGTTGGCCCGCATGCTTGAAGCAGGCTGTTTCAAAGCGGTATGTTGCATGTTTCAATGATATTTACTAGGGATTGTTGACAAACTCGCAAAGGCAAGGTCAAGGTCAAACAACCCTCCCCCCCCCCCCCCTCTCCCCCCGGCGCCCTTTTTTCAAATGGTATCGGCTATCTGTCCGCACCCGAGTTCCGAGACCCGCGGCTCCTCCAAGAAGATCTTTGCCACACGGTCCTCGGATGGGTCCCGAGGCGGTTGGCCAAACACACCAAAGCTCAGGCTGACCTGCGGTAACTGCCCTCCCAGAACCCTCCAACAGAGGACATTACCATTCGTCGGTGTCTCAAATCAAGCAAATCCAAAGGCAGAGCGCTTCCAAAGGGACTACTGCTCTCAGCATGGCTTTTCCATTTACTCCATTTGTTGGTTGAAAGGTGCAGCTTCAAACAAGAGAGCCCAAGGTCAAACCTCAGAACTCTGCCGTTGCCATTGAAGGGCAAACTCACAGACAGGACGTGTGATTGCTGACCAAAGGATCCACATTCAAAGTACCTGGAGCTGCTTTTGCCAAAGGCAAACAAAATGTAGAAATTGTCCTGACCGCGCATTCGTGTCATTCAGCTGTCATTTGGCCAGGAAAAGGGCTCTGACTGGAATGGTTGTTTTCTGCTTGTTTTCCCTTCAAAACCGAAACGCAACCAAAAAAAGGCCAGCATTGTGAGAACACTCCAGTGGCCATCTCGCGCCCTCATCCGAATCGAGGTGCACAAAGGCCCCGGAGGATTTCTGGCAGCCACTCTCCGTCGATGAAGCTGAGCTCCCTCCTGAGGGTCGATAAAGTCCGTTGGATTCTAACGTCGTCCCATGCTGCATGCGCCCCGTTTGTTAGGATGTGCTTTGCCAAGGGGGTCGCCTCGGGAGTGTCGGGGAGGGGCACCTTCTTAGAAGAGGCGTCGCCTCTTGGAGGGTTCTTAGTGGCAAACCTACTTCACAGGCCCCTACCAACTTGAAAGCTCAAGAGAGGCGATCTGCATAATGTGCCTCCAACCTGGAAAGGTGATTCTTTTAGAAGAGACGCCCCGAAACCGCAAGCTCATGATGATTGGCGCAATAACGCGTGCAAACCTGGACCGAGCCATCCCAAACAATCCCAGGAAGGATTGTAGCAACAGATGAACCACCCTCTAGTCCAAGCATCCCATGTGGCGGAGTTTTGTCCGCTCCTTGATGGTATTCCCGGATCCCAACTTCATACACCAATGCGATTGCATCATAGTGGTATTTCCTGTTCAGTGCTGAGGCCCGCTGGTTGATTCTGGCCACAGGGCAAACACAGGGCGCAACATTCTGTTGCTTCCCTACTCTGAATTAACAATACCCACCTCGCACGAGTTGGTAGCTACCCATTCACAAGGTGTCATCATGTTTCATCCATCCAAAGTGGTGCGGGACTTTGCCCATCCACAGCATTGCGGCTGTTGGCGAGAGAGGGGCTGGAAAGGAAAAGGCCAACGCGGCCTTATGAGGCCTCGCCTGAAGAGAGGGGCACAAATGCGACACAAAACACTTGCCCAATGCAGGGGAAGGTACTAATCAAAGGTCAGCAGTACTGTGTTTTTGGAGGGCACTTTTTCTCCACTGGATGCGTGAAGGGTATTATGAAGGGTTGGGCCAGCCATGTTTGCTTAGGGCATCAGCTCTCCCCAAACGACTCGGAGATTTGCACCGAATCAGCCTCGTTTGGGATTCTCTTTCAAGGGTTATATAAAGCACCGGTGAATCATTTATGCTTGCAGCTGTCAAACGACAAATGTTTTTAGTTGAAGGCAACCAAACAAATACTGATGTGTAACATGTGTATATGCAACACAACATCAGGTTCTAATGATTGCTCTCTGCCATGCATCCGTTCCATGCAAACACCTTCTTCCGGTTTCCTAGCTCTCCGCGCGAGAAACAAAAAAAAACAAAAACAAACAAAAACAAGAAAACAACACACACACTCGCGCCCAGCCGCTCCCCAGCCCGCTCCCCTGCAAATGCCGCTGGCAGAAGGTCTCCAGCAAGGGCCGGGCCTCTGGATCCCGCCAGGCATAGCCCTCCTGCTGCGCGGGTATGCCCCGTTGACCCGTCAAGACGGGTGGGAAAATTCAGATGGGCTTATTAGTTGTGGTTGTTAGTGAGCTGGGATTTCTGACGAGGCCGAGAAATTGGATGAAAAATTGGTCTCTTGGCCGGCACCGCGGCCGCAACACATCCTGAAGGAGAATAAAGCTCACTGAAAAGGAATCAAATGTGACTTGACACCAGAAAAACGCATGCCACAATCAGGTTCCAAGGAACGGTCATGCTGCATCTCATACAAATATCAAATAAATAATACCAACCAATTCTGGAATGGAATGTCTGAATTCATCGAATCATCAAAGACCACCCCCAACCTCCAACAACCAGTCCTGAATTTAGTTGTCCAAAAATAATATTGTAGGAAACAGGGCTTTGGTAAAATAGGGGTTAAGGCTGTGGCAAGGACCCTTGGATTGGTCATTTCCAGCTTCTGGAAAAAAGGTGAATTGACTCCGCAGCGATAGTTTGACAAAAAATACAGCTTTTGACTGGTGCAAAAGCCTGCTCGGGCTAGGAACCAGGTAATTGCCTGGTGCTCTAGTGAGCCAGTGCACCCCCCCCCCCCACTTGGTCTTGGCAACGAAGTGTCACGGACAGCAAGTGCTCGAGTCATATGATTTACCCTGCGCATAACCCACTTCACAGGTGCAAGACGCACAGCACTCCACTCCAGTCCACTCCAGTCCACTCCATTCCACTCCATTCCACTCCATTCCACTCAAAAGGTCCTAAGGTCCTACTGGGTTGTGCAGGGCATGGGCTATGGCGAACATCGGTTCTACAAAGGCCACCGGCCAGACACCAAAAACGTCCCGCGCCTCGCCACAAGTGGCCATGAGATTGGCAAAGGTGAGGAAGGGCAGCCAGGGGGGCACCGCGCGTGCCAGCTGCTCCGCCTCTGGGCTGAAGTTGGTCAATCCTGGTTCTTTGCCCCAGGGAAACCGCTGCAAACAGTTTGGTGTGCTGTTTGGAAAATAGACGGCCCTGGTAGATGATTGAACCACCAGGTAAACCAGGGCCTTCTATTTGTTAAACAAAATTCATGAAAAAGGACACCTATGGCTGCAAAAGCGCGCCCTGCCCCCGCCTCCGGCCGGCCCAGCGGCGCCAGCATTTTTCTCAGCACGTGGAGCGGCAGATGCGGCAGTGCCCAAAAGGCGCTGGAGGCGAAGGAAAGCACCGGAGGGCCCAGCGCCTGCGCGCGTTCCGCTGTCCACTTTCGGGGAGCATTTATTGGTTCATCCCAGGTCGGTCCCTTCCTGGACAGCGTAAGCCTCTCTGAGCCGGAGGGTCCGTTGCTAAGAATCCCTCAACTCCCGAGCTTTTTGTTTATTGCCGCTGAATTGATCATGCCTGCTCAAAACAGAACGCACACACCAAAAGAACAGCGCAAACACCACGCAATCCACGCCTCTGGCGCTGGCCCGAAAGGCTCATCTGGCAGGAAAGCTGTGCGTACCTGGATGCTTTCTGGGACAGGAAAATGTTGGATACTGTCAGTCCAAGCACAAAATGGTGTTGGAAAGCCATCATGTTGCAAAAGGCACTTTCATTCTTGATAGAAGGGCTAAAGGCTATTGATGGGCTGCATCTTGGCCTGGAAATGGATCAAACTCACAAACCACACGAGCCGCCTAGCATGCTACAAGCGCGCAGCCCCTACAGCGCCCATGACACCATGAAGGGGCTGGCTGATGATGCTTCGGCTTGGCAGCTCAGCATGTGGCGAATTGGTCACACTGCCCTTTGGAGAGTCGAAGAAAAGCACATGCCGAAGAATCGCGGACGAAACAAACAAAGCCCCCGAGGCGAGCTTCAGTTCTGAAAGGGGCCTAGCAAGTTCTCCAAGGTTGATTCCGTGGGTACCCGTACGAATTGACTAGTAAACCCGACTGATGGCAGCGTGTGTGCAGATTCTTCACGGGGCAGAAAAAGGCAGAACTGTTGCCAGGCTTCATGTAGCTAAAGGTAAATCAGGCGGCTTGCGCATAACCGCCATGTTACCCTGTTTTGCCATGTGAAGTGGGGTGCCAAATCAATGCATGGGACAAGATGAACAGCCTCTGGAACACGCCGGCACGGAATGCCGGAAGCCCATTTTTTGCCTGTAAAGCAATGCCTCGCCCAAGATAACAGCTACTCAGCCCATGCCTGCACCTTCTCGGTTCGGCAGCTTGGTGGGAAGTTGGTGAGGGGGTGCCCCTGTGCTTTCGACTACCCGGGACTCCGGGACGGACCAGTCCTTAAAGGGATCTGTTGGGCAGCCCCTGTTTGGGGGCTTCTATGTTACTGAGGTCGATCTGATAGGCCACCAGAGCCGAAACGGAACGTCTCCAGCCGGGGTTGCTTCCCCAACAATGAGTGAAGCAAACCTGGCTGAAATCGGGGCTGCCGCGCTAGGTGTCCTTTTGGAAAAAGAGATGCCAATGAAAAAATGCTGCGAACAAAAGCTGAAACGGTTGCCATCTATGGGGGGCGTTTACGACCCAACCTGTCTTTTTGATCCATAAATTGATGTTCAGCCAAACTAATCGGAAAAGGACACCATCGCCGTAGCTGTCTCAGGCAAGTTCGAGTTCCATCAGCTCTGCGATCTCTGCAAGCTCCTGTTGTTTGCGCCTGCTTGCGCCGGATTGTCTTCCCCCTAGTTGCTGGATTGGATTGGATTGGGGGGGTCCTAACCGCCAATGAAGGGCTACCTGAGTTGTGGCTGAAAAAAAGCATCCCCAATAAGTCAATAAGTCTGCACTATAGAAACCAAGGATAAGAACAACTTGTTTGTATCCTGGACCGCGGCCCTCAGAGGAAAACCAAACAAGGTTGCTTAATCAACAGCGGCTCGAACACGTTTAAGCCAAGAGCTATCCCAACCTAGAGACACACTTTGTTTGATTCTTTTTGATAGGACAAGTACCATTTTTGTGGCTTGGCCTTCAGGTGCTTTTGAGGAAAACAAATCTGACCTACGGATTTTCTCAGGCGCGGATACTAGTTCCAGCAGGGCGAATGGCCGGGTGTTGATTGCCTACTTTTGGGTGGGGGCACCTTGAGCCACTTCTCACTTGCCCAAAGGACCTGAAAATAGAAGGTTAATCTTTTGGGGTCAGGACAAAAACTAGACCAAACCCGTGCCACTGCGAAAATCTTGAGAATTTGCTTACTGTGAAACCCGGCTTGAATTCTTTGAGAAAAAGCAAACGGGGCCGGTTCTTCCCACAAATCACGGAGCTCGGTTTGCCCCCTCTACCTTTATACGGCCCAACCAATCCTAAATCTAAGCTCAAAGCCAGCCGGAAACCCGCCCTAAACCAGCCTGAAGCTACCCACACTACATGCAAATCAGGCCCTGCCAAGGAAGAAAATCAGCATCAGGTGGACAGCCAATCGCTGGTGTCAGTCATTTTTGCTAGCCAAGATCAGACGGTGCAAACTGGCCGGGGATGGTCCTTCCTGTGGGTGACTCCCTCATATATCTATCGGGAACTGTCTCGAAAAACAATGTTGACATATCCCGTTTAGGTCCCTTCCAGTTGCAACTAGCATCCCCTTGTTGCTTCCTTTTCCAACCCCACTTGTGTTTGACCATTTTACCCTTGGGTTTATGGGCCCCAAAATGAAAAGGCTGGTCCAAGTGCCTGGTCCCCAGCCGAACTCTTCGAGCGCCCAGAACAAAGATGGCAATTAGAAATTGTCTGAGTGCACTTCCGATGTTTGTCGGGGGGGAGTAGAATGCCCACGGGTCGCTGGAGGCAGTGCTGGAGGCTTAAAGATCCCAATGGCCCAAATGAAGGTCTTGGCACAAGGTCCTCCAGCTCAAGGTCCGGCATCTGCGAGCTAAAGCGTATCAGCTCCTTGGAGATCCGATTCCAGATCATGGGCGCTTTGATTAGGGTTGGAGCATGGGCAAAGGCCAAGCCAAAGGGGTTCTGAAAAAAGCACGCCATATGTTCAACCACCCGTTTTTTTGGCTTTTGATGCAGCTTTCTGGAAAGGAGTCGTGGAAAAAATGGTGGAGTTACACCTAGAGCCCATTGCTGGCTGTATACTCGTTAGACCTTCAAGGGGTGAAAGGTCAATACCTGTTGACTTACAGAGGGCAACCCTAAAACGGAAAGGATTTCTTGAATTTTCCTGCATTTGCCCAAACAGGCCCCCTACCAGCTATTGGGGATCTCACCCGGCGCCAACCAGTGAATCAGTCAGTTGCCACACTGTCAAGGCCAAACAGAATCAAAATGGTGCAGGTGTAAAGGGCATTTATGGTATTCTTGTGCGTGTCTTTACCTGCTATTTCAGGCCTTAGCCCAGGGGATGCGGGGGCCGTCCAAAGGCACGGACGCACACACGTTTGGCGGTCTCGGCGTGGCGATGGTCCAAAGGTTCCACCCAATCCCAAGGGTCTTCAAGGAGGACCCTCCGAAGGACGCCGACAAACATGCGTTTAAACCTCCCGTTGAATGAGAGGAGCCACTGGAGTCATTGGGGTGGCAACATGGCAAATGTAGCCCTGTCAGGCGCGTGTTTTGCCTTGCAGCCTTGAAAGACACATGCACACACAAACAGGTCCTTGTCGACCGACTGTTTGGGACCATGACTGAAATTATGCTTCTTTCATTCTGCTTTCATGTAGGGCTTCATCCATCTATGTGTTTGTCTATGTGCATATCTCGCCTCCCCCTTCCCTCTCGCTCTCTAAATATCACCCCCCCCCCGGAAAGCGCAGGTTTGGTGATGTTAGCTGAACAAGTTTTGCCAAAGGGGCGCCTTTGGCAGGATGACCCAGGCGCACGTCGGAACGCCAGCCCTGCCCACTGGACCATTTCAGCTGGGACCAGTCACAAACCGTTGACCCTCCCCCAGACTAACGCGGAAGCTCCCAAAACCCCTTTGGAAGACTTGGTCCCATGTACAGAGGCCTTCTGGGAGCTTCCATGTTAGGCTGAGGGAGTGGAACTGGGCTCTGCCGGAGCGTCCGATTCCGCCAGCAAGGCCTGGACCCGACCCTCCATCTGGTCGGTGAAGTGCTTTGCCTTCACCTCGCTGGCAATCCAAAGATGTGTTGGCTACGGGAAAAACCTCGGGGCCCCTAAAGTGGGGTTCTTAGAACCTTCTTGGAACGAGGTCTTAGAAAGGTTCTGACAAAGGGTGTTCTAAAACCGCAAAAAGCAAATGCAAATAATAATGCGGGCGGATATCTGCACCATGTCATGGTTGGGACTGTCCAACACTGAGATTCACATACCCTTTCTTTTGGCCACTACCCTAGGAAGAGCGGCGGGTCCCAAAAAGCCATAACTTCTCATATATTCGGGTCACCCCTTCCCAAGATCCATCTCTAAAAGAGATGTGATTTGAAAGAGGTTGGCATCCAGGAACTTCCATGTGAGCCAAAAGGAGTAGGCAGCTAGGGATTGCCCCATTCAAGGATCCGTACTTTCCGTGCTGTGTCCTACATGGATGCATGCGGCAGCGCTCTTGGTTGTCCGCAGCCTCGGTGGATAATGCAACCCAAGGATACCTCAGAGTGCAAACCTCCCGGATTCTAGGGGCACCGACAAAACTCGGAGAAGTCTGACCAGCTACATTGTTGTGATGCCAGCATATATGAGTGTGATGCCATTGCGCCTGGGACGCATGCAAGTTCACATGTGCGCTGTAGAACAGGACCTGACTCAAATCCTAGAAGCACATGCTCAGGCTCGTACTTGTGCAGCCTCTCCATGTTGTCGACAGGGATGTGGATCCAACTACTATAGATTCACCTCAAATTCTATTGGATGTCAGTGAATTGGCTCGCCATCACCCAATTAGAGTCGGCAAAGAATGCAACAATGTACTACAATGTGTGCTGGTCCCTCCCCTGAATCCCCGAGCCCAGACTTCCACTGCCAGCCTCCAGCAGGCCTTCGTTTTGAAGCCTAGGTGTGACACAATACCTTCCATTTGCTTAAGGCCCCTTGGAAAAAAACAATATTACAAGCTGTATTGACAAGTAGCACGCTCAACTTTGAAAGTTTGGAGTTCAAGAGGTTGGCGCCGATTGTTTACGCTCCTTGGGCACACATGGAATGGATCTTTGGCCTCAGGCGTCGCATGTTAAGCCCTCTCTCTGACCTCTTTGACCTGAACTTCACCATGCGCAACACACATGCAAAACGCATGAATGCAATATGACGCTGGCTTCTTTGCATGTTCCAAAAACGAGGCTCGCGCACGTCCAACATTCTTGATGTCCCACACTTTTTTTGGGTGCACTGCTTGCGAAAGTCGCGACTTCATCTGGGCAGCCGCACCCGTGCCACTTTCAGCGGCCGGCGCAGGCCAACAAGGCCGTAGAGTTGTTGCCCCTCAGATACGACCAGAGTCTTAGACTTGGGCATCTTTTCGCCCGACCATCGAGCCTGCCTCACCTCATTGACGTAGATCTCCATGTCGCCGGTCTCCGCGTAGAAGGCCAAGCGCACCACGTCGTCCGCTTGGAGTCTCCGCGGTGTCACGTCCTTCCAAGGCGGAAAGGCAGCACCATACTGCTTGCTGCCACTGATCCAGAGATTCCCTGCATCGCTGCTGACCCATGATGGCTGCGACAGCACCGCATATTTCTGGTGAAGCGAAAAGCCATCTGCCCTGCTGCAGTTGGTGATGCCGATCTCAATGCCCTCCGAGCCGAACTTTTCCATCTCCATGATCACCACTTCGAAGGAAGCTACGCCATCTGCCCACCGCAGCGCTTCCGTCATGGCCATGCCCCCCGTGTGATCGCCATCGCGGCTGGCGATGGTGGCACCCATCTGCGAAGGGTCATCCGCATCGCCCGACAACGTGACGGACTCGCTGACCTCCGAGAAGAGCAACGGGGCCCGCACGCGGCAGGCGTGGAGCCTGATCACGCCTTCAGTCGCTTGCAGGTCGAGAAGGCTCACCGACTCAGAGGCGAACTTGAACCTGGAGTGCAGGTCTGTTGGCAGCAGCCTCTGCAGTGCTTCCAGGTGCTCGTCCTGCGGCACCTCGGACCAGGTGGCAATGACTTCGCCCGAGATGGAATTCTCCACCACCACCGTCACGGTGCCAGCAGACGGCTTGTCATCGGCGACCTCCGTGTCCATGAGTTGGCTGTGGCGGCGGCGCTACATGCCACAGCAGGGACGATCTCCGTGAATTTCGCGCCTATGTCAAGAGATGGGGAGATTTCGTTTTCTTTTCACGAGCTGTGACCAGTAGCACGCTGAACTTAACAAGTTTGGAGCTCGAGCTGGCGCCGGTTGCTTAAAGAACGGTTTGGGACTCCCTGGCCACACATGGAATGGATCTTCGGCCTCAGGCGTCGCATCTTAAACTAGAGTTTGGCTATAGACACTGAAGTTTTTGATGACCATCTTTGACCTGAACTTCACCACATGCAAAGCACACGCAACACGCTTGCATGCAAGATGATGTGGGCTCCTTGCATTTTGCAAGGAACACGTTCGCGCACGTCCCAAAAAATATCATTTCCTACACTCACTCAACCGCTCAGGCTCCCTGAGATGGGTGAATCTCTCAAGTATTCCATGTAAAACGCTCAGCTCGTGTTGCATTGTACTGCAGGCGTGTTGCATTTGTGGCTCAACCGCAACGGTGGAGCTGCAGCATTGCATAGTGTGGCAACTCACAACACCCAAAGCGCTCCGCCTTTACTTTCTGAAATGCCGGCCTAAGTGCAAATCGACAATCACATGCTATGCATTTTGCAATCCCAAGAAACGTGGCCACACTGATCAGTGGCAAAGGCAGAAATGACCACCAAAAGCCCTGGCCTTAGGCAGCCAAAGAGCCCTCGAAAGGTGCCAAGCTGGACAGGAATTTGCAGCTCCTCGCGAATGGGTGACAGGTCTGCATGTCAAGTGGGAGATCCTCAAAGCCAGCTTCCCGGGGTCGGCTGTATGTTTTCATTGGCAGCAAGCATCACCCTTCCTGGTAACTACTTGGATTTGCTTTCAGTTGTCAGAAAGGCAAAAACAGAAAATGGCAGAAAACGCTCTCTCCAAAATGGTAAGAGCATTTCCTTTAAAACACCCAGTCTTTTCCAGCTGTCGGGCCGCACCACCCTTAGGCACCAAACGATCCAAGGTGCTGTTTGCCAAGTTGTTCAGTACTGGTTTCAAAATATGCGCTTTCTTGTGAGATTCGATAGATGATGCGATGCCTCCCTCGCATAGCTGGGGGTGGGGGGGCTTGACCAAAAGCTTCTGTAGGACTGCTAAACACCTAGATGGATGTACAGAAGCTCACCGAACAACAAGCAATGAAGAAAACTGAAATGTGATACCTTGCATCACCTTAAGACAACGTATTCTTACGAGGTGAACAACTGTCAGGTACTCAGGTGCAAAAGCCGACAAGGTGCTTTGGATCACGATGCTGAAATGGCAACACGCGTGTCAATATTTCGTGCATGATCCTTAACACGTAAAATCAAGTCACAAACAAAAGCGGCGCCTGGATGGCTAGCCGGAATGGGATCTGCTCGGAATCAGTACATACAAAGGATGCACGAACCAGGTTGACACATAGGCAGGCGCAAGCCCCAACAATCAAAACATCTCTCTCACGTCTCAAGGGACACCTTCCGATGCAACAACCGGGAGGCAATTGCGGCAGGTGGGCATTTCATTGAGAGTGGCAGCTCCGAGCTGTTTTTGACCTCGGCCTCTCTCCTCCAACAGCGCCAGCATCGCTGGCTTCACCACCGGCACCACGCTGTGCCTCCCCGCGAATGGCCTTCTTTTGCTCGTATTTCACTTTGCTTCCAGCCATGAAAAAACCAACATGTGGAATTGTGAGACGGATGAAAATCACAAGAGTGCCTGCGCCACAGAAAAGGGAAAATGACTCATCGCATTCCTCGCAGGGGGCCTGTCCTGACAGCACTCCTTGTTCAACAGCTTGGCTTCGCAATAATATTGTCTGCTCAGATTTATTTTCCGCTTAGTTTGGCGGGAGAACGGTGCACAAATCCCACCCATGACTCAGACTGTATAACTAACAACGCAATCTGCATGGATCTTCGGCCCACTTTGCGCTGGGGCACCAAATCATAATTCCGCAAGTGCAACACGGGTAACACCACTTGAATGCGCCAAAGTTACAGCCTCTCAGGATGAAACACTTGCACCAGGGTGAAACTAGATGGCATTTCGGCAAGTAAATTGGATGACCAATCCAAACATTGCGGAACGCACATGGGATTTTGGTGAACCCCCATTTCAGAGTGACAAGTTGCTCAGTGTACAATCAGGGGAATTGTGCCGAACTCGCACGCGCCTGCCGGAGCCGGTGATCAGGTGGAAACTTCTCCGCGTGGCTGCTGCCCGCCGCCGCGCGGCCTCAAGCTGCACAAAAACTTGCGGGTGCTCAGCAAGGAATGAGAATTGGAATGGCCCCTGGAAACCATCCCTTGTGGTTTCCTTCCAGGGGAATTCTGGGTCATTAGCGAGAAAAGCAACAAAACGCGTGGCACGCAAGGGCCCAAGCTCGACAGGTCTAGCAACCTCTTGCCAAGCCGCTTCGTCACGAAGCGCCAGTAGCGCGCAGAACCTGTCGCAACTTGAGCGCCCTCTGGCACTTGTGCAAACTGTTCTTGCTTACACAACGCCTGAGACGACCGACTCCCCTTTCCAGTTCAGAATCACATCCGCACCAAGTATTCTGATGGCTGGCCTTTGTGCCGCCTGCGTCTCAGAAGGAATCGCCGCGCATCAGCACGAAAGAGCTCAACGCGTGACCATGCCCCAAGCTAATTAGCGCCAAATAAGCAGCGGAGCCGACTAAATGAAAAAACGAGGGTTTGAATGCAACTCTGTCTTTGCAACCCTGTGCGTGCTTTGCATATGGTGCATGGTTTGCTGAACATTGACCGTCTCGCAATGTCATGTCGCATTGCGTCAGAGTGATCCCAAAAACAACAGCTCCTTGCTCTGCACTGCGGTGTCATCATTTTTTTTTAAACTATGTGCTCATGTCTCCACTTTCCGACTTAATATTAACACTTCCGCAAGTCGACCCACAAATCCACAAAAGGTTGCCTAAGAAAACACCTTCAAGGACTTAAAAGTCAATCAGCATCAACCAGAATTGTGTTAACTGCTATGACATGTCCCTCCGCGATTGATCACAGTGGTTCAGTGAGCCTTATAGAAAAAGGGAACCCTTCTCGGGATTGACCATTGAAACTTGCTCAAATGGAAGTGGTATACATGTCATGGGCAAGTGGCATTCAGAAATTGCATATGTAGGGCAGCATTGTGGATGCAATGCCCGCCATGAGAAACATATGAGTGGGGTCAAAGCCTGTTCACACAGCATTCCCACACCTCATATTCATACTTGTGTGCCCAGCAATGACCCCTCAAACCTTGGGCATACAAGGAGAAACATGTGAGACGTGCACTGGAACTATGAGAATATTAAGGGGGCAGTTATGATGAGACACTATGAGAGTTCAAAGGAAAGGGGGAGCTTGAGAAGACCATGAGAAAGAATGAGAAAACTATGAGAACAAAGAGAAAATATGAGAACAATGAGGAAATATGAGAATTTATGGGAAGCCTATGAGAGACAGCTTCATAGCTGTCTCATGTTTTTCTCATAGCTCTCTCATATTTCTCATATTTCTCATTTTTCTCACTTGCCCCAATGGCCTTCGCATAGCTTTCTCATGTTTTTGGCCACTGTCTCATATAATCTATTTCAGCACACCATTTATGAGACGCAAGAAAGGGCTATCATATCATAGCTTTTTTATGCGCAACTACGAGAAAGCCAGGGGTCAAGTGTGAGAATACCTTGACGACAGTTTAGAGGCTGTGTGTGTTGGATAGCTGTGGGGTCAATACTGGTCCATGTGTGAATGGGCACACGCACCACACCCGCGCACACAGAACACTTTTCAATGGTCATTGAAAAGTGTTCTTTTTTGCAATTGCTAGCAATGCCTTTCAAATGCACTTTGAAAGGCTTTGCGTTGGGACAAGCAAGTTTAAGGGTGTCCAGCCCCTACATAATTGTAGAGGGTTATTTGCTTGCAATTAAAGGCTTTCAGGGCAAGGGCAGCTGCAGCTGACGCCGGACCAGCTGCCAGCCAGCAGCAAAGGTGAGCCTGGCAGGCTTGGCAGCATACTTTGGACCAGGAGAGTTAGGGGGGACTTTTTTCTAGGTAGGCAACAGCCCAGCCAGGATGGAGCTTGCTCACACTCAAGTAACACCTCACCCATTTGGCAACTGGGCCGATAAGCAGCCACTGCCAGGCACTTCAGCCACTGGCCAGAGGCTCAGTCAGCGCAGTGGCTTGCGTTTACAGGGGCGAAGAACCAAAGACTGCAAAGTGGGCGGGTGTTGCTTTGCAGCTGAATAGGTCACTCCATGTTTACTTGTAGCCCGAGCACAAGGCTTGCAAACACACAGCTCAGCCTTGTGTGCAAGGTGCAAACAGCAAGCTTTGACCAAACTCGTCACACACCACATCCCAAAAAGGCACTGCCAGCTGAGGCTTGCTTTCAGGAGGCCTTTGCGGGCAGCGCGAGGAAGCTGAAGGCCATGTGAGCCTGGCATGCTTGCTAGAATTGCAAAAGCAACGCGCACACACACGCAACCTTTGCGACAGGCTGTCTGTGCATTTGTGCAATCACCGGCAATTTTATCCTTCTTTGCAACGTGCATGCAATCAACAACTTGCCCAGGGCCTCCAAGCTGCACACTTGACAGTCTAAAATTGCAAACGTTGCGCAATTTAAATGCGACTACACAAACTACAAAACAACACAACTAAAGGCTGTCAAGCGAATAAGCAGCTAGGAGGTGGCATTAAACTGCGTGACGGGAGCTGTTACTGGACAGCAAGTCTAAGTACTGCGTCACAAGATCACTCAGCCCACATCTTTTGGAGCTCCTTCTTGCAAGCTTCAGAGGGGGTGTCCCTGTGCCTGGGCTGAACAATGCAAACTAGAAGCATTGACAAACTAGAAGCATTGCCTGGGATTTGCCAGGACAAACTAGAAGCATTGAAAGCCAGTTGCAGGCAAGGTGCTCCATGCATTTGGAACATTGCCCTTTGCATCCTGTCCAGCTGTCCTCTGCCAGGTGCGTGAGATGGATATGGTAGCCTTTGCCTCAGTCGCACGCAAGAGCAACCAACTCATTCCTTTCAAATTACCTGCGTAGTTCTTTCAAAATGGCCCAGCAAATCATTCTAATTTCTTTCATTTTTGCTGCACAACAGAAGGTGGTCTCACAGATTGTTCAGCAAAGTGGCTCCGCAGAAGCCAGCTCACCATTATAGCAGCAGCCACAGAGC